CAGACGCCAGGACATTTTCTTTATCCTTTGATTCATATTTCACTGCCGTTGCAACAAGGTCCTGAGCAGTGAACCGAATTATGTCAGCTGGAGAAAACAAAATATTTAAATACAGCAGTTTCCTCAGTGACTGTGAAACGATTACATTAGCTCAGTAATTGGGGAATTGAGATGCTTTTACTGATGCAGTTTGTGTTTGCATGTTTGTTTTTGCAGTAATTTGTATGTAACAAAATATATGTAAAATATATGCAAAATCACACATCATGTTTCTCCAGATAGATGGATAATTATAATTGGAAGGGAGAAGAAATATGTTTAGCTCTATATGACCAGTGGGAGATTTCTGCTTAATCAAGCAAAATGACAATTAATTTTGTTCTGATATGATATAAATTTAAGACAGAAGATTGTGTGTGTTGACATTTTTCAGTACAAGGAAATTTTCTATGAATGTTGATTCATTCTCTGTTTCTCTCTAAAAATATTATGTTCAGTGCTTATTGATGTATAAAAGAAGAAGGAAAAGGGAGATTGCACAGGACAATATCAAAAAGTGATCCTAAGGTACTTCTAGGGGCAAATAGGAATTTTTTGGTTCCTGGGAACTTTTTGGTTTATAGGTTAGTCTGTTACTAACAAGTGCTAAATTCACACTCTGGATTATGCATTTGTAATGAATTCTCAAATACGAATGAAGACATTCTTGTCTACGGTATTCTATTATGTTTTCAGTGACTAAACATTTTCTTCTTCTTTTATGTCATTGCACAATTCATAACATTTTTAAAGCTTTACTGTAAGCCAATTCATGTCTATAAGTTAAGTTGTATCCTCGGCTTTTTTTTTATTAATGCCACGTTTTAATAAAAATCTAAATATGTATACCTTTAACCAGTGCTTTTTTTCTAAAAAAAAAAAAAAAAAAAGGTGCCAGAACTCACACATGTCATACAACCCGCCTTGCCTACCCTACAAGGTTCCATCCAAAAAAGGTGCCGGAACTCCGTTCTGGGCATTCTATGAGAAAAAAAGCCCTGCCTTTAACGTCCTAGATAATGGAACTTTTTACCTCAGAAGACCCAAGTAGGCCTTCATTTTGGCTGGCTTCACTGTTTGATTAAGTTATCCTTTTTTTCATCACACTTAGTCTGATTTAAGTTCCCCCCCCCTTTTTTTTTTAATGATACAATTTAATTCCTTTCCTTGAATGCTGCATGGAGCAGGGGGAAGATAGGATAAGTTTGAATAAATAGAACATGTAAAAGCAATAGCACTTAAACTTATATACTGCTTCATAGAGCTTTACATCCCTCTCTAAGCAGTTTGCAGAGTCAGCATATTGCCCCAACAATCTAGGTCCTCATTTTATCGATCTCAGAAGGATGGAAGACGGAGTCAACCTTGAGTTGGTCAGGATTGAACTGCTGGCAGTGAGCAGTGAGTTAGCCTCTAATACTGCATTCTAACCACAGTACTTCTGCAGCTCAAGGTTGACTTAATTAATTTCCAGGATAAAATATGTAATGTTCCAGGACAACATATTTGGAAATACATACAAACAACATTTTTTGCCATAAAAATACAGTCCTAATCATAGTAGTGTTTTATATTGATAACATAAGTCACACAGTTCACATGAGCTTTGTGCTCATGCATTTTCTGTAGAGGCTCTTTAACGTGCTGCAATAGTATTGGTATTCAAAAGGCTTATTCATACACTTTGGTATTTTATCAAGAAATGTGTGATGGCTTTATCAAGGCTTGAGTTTTGCAAGCACGGTTGAGGCAATGAATTTGTTTGACAAGTTTATTCGTGTAACAAGTTAGATAAGCATTTGTGATTCACAATTGGAGTCACTGTGGGGTTGTTAATTTGAAATTCTCATAGTATTCCTGATCAGATATTCATTAAAATGTTTGCGTCATCTGCAGCCAGGTCTGTATAAATCAGTTTACTGTAAATTTACGCTTCTTACAAGTTTATTACTTTATCAGGTATTCACTTAGGATTTCCACTGTTCTGTCATAAAATATTTCCCAGGCATAATATATATTCTCCTATTGAGTTAATACATGGTATTAATCAGGCAGTGCATCAGCTGCTGTGGGCAGAAAGGGAAACTAAGAAACATTGTTTACAGCTGAAGCAGCTGGGGATCAGTTAATAGGGCACAGGACAAAAGAGGAAACATGTTAACATGAATGTAGGGTGGAGGTGGATCATTTGCAAGATGGATTTGACAGCCAGGAAGCACCTTTTTGTGTTGTTTTTGTTTTCTACTTCATCCTGTCCATCTTGGCTGGGTCCTCTAGCTAGAGAAAAAAGTTACAAATAAAAACTGTGAGCAGGGCCATCCATATCCATGAAAGTTAAAAGTTCTATTTTTCCTCTGTCTTAGCACATGATGAGAAAAGTAGGAGTTTCAATAATTCTTTGTTTACTCATCATTGTAAGCCAATACTGCTTTAGTATGGTTTGTTTAACAATGTATTAGTTTGTAGACAGGCTAATCCCAGTTTATTAAGACAACTATGATTTGTTTTGCCTCTGTCTATTACAGTATCCAGATGGATCTTAGGTTTCCCAGGAGTAAAAGGCTATTGTGCTCCTGTTTATGTGGGAGCGGGCTTTTGTTTAAACAATATTAAACAATTGTTTATTGAAGAGCATGGGGTTTTTACTTGCATGTTTGCAAGGCACTGATGGAAGCTGTGTGTTCATGCAGGCTGTGAGATTTGTTTGTTTGCTTGCGTATTTCAGGGTCTTTCTTTTTAAAGAAAGTATATGAAATTTGTAATCCAGCTTCAAACGGTGGCATTAGTTGTCCAGAAATAAATCATAAATTGATGCTTGACATGGGTTCAGATGTTTAAACAAACTGTAATTGGGTTAAACAAAGCCTGGATTTATGTTATGTACAACTCGGCCTTCTGTGCAGTACAGAGTCACTGTATTGATAGAGGTTTGGAAGCCGGTATTTGAATTATTTTTAAAATGTCCAATTCCAGTTTTGGGAACGCTGAATTCGTTAATAATCTCGGTGAAAATAATCTATTGTTTTGTGATCATTTTAGCATAGTTGTATCGGTGTGTATATGTGTGCAGCCCAGATTGCCCAAATCTAAAGAATCAAATTTCATGTTCATGAATGTTTGCCCTTTAAAGACATTTTACTTTCCCCCCTTTCCATGCTTCTTTCTTTTTCTGTGCTTTTCTAATCCTAGAACAGTGGTTCTCAGCCTTTCTAATGCCGTGACCCCATAATATAGTTCCCCATGTTGTGGTGACCCCCAAATGGGTGTGGCCACCAATAAGAAGGAGTAGGACAGCTAGGGAAAAGGGAAAAAAATGGCAGACAGCGTGGTTTGACGACCCCTGTGAAATGGTCATTCAACCCCAAATGGGGTCCCAACCCACAGGTTGAGAACCACTGTCCTAGAAGTTTAGTGATGCTTTAAGGAGTGTGAACATTTAAGAATGTTTTTCAATAAATCAGAGTTTCAGAAAGCTCATCTGAGTAGAGGCAATATTTCCTGTCCTTTTTTTGAATAGATTTTATGACTTAAAAGAGTATCTTTCCTGTGATTGGACTGCAACAGGTTGCGATATTGCAATGGCATTATATTAAAAATGTGATTTAGGAATGGCAAAATGATACCAGGGGGAAAATAGAAGAAAAATATAACACACAATATTTCCTTTCCCTTGTATGATGGGTGTTTATCAGTACAATATACTTCGTCATGCATGCACACGCTATGAAGTTCCTATTGATGGTGATTTTATTCTGGATATCCACAGGCTCCATTGGCAGTGTTTAAAATGGAATGGTAACAGTGAAACTGAAAAGCATAATACTGATCACTTCATGAGTGGACTACTGCAAGGGGCTGCCCTTGAAGGCCATCTGGATGCTATAACTGGCACAAAATGCAGTGACACAAGCAGTAAAGTCACTGCTGCTACCGTGAGCTTCATTGGTTGCCAGTAGTCTTCCGGATGCAATTCAAGTTGCTTTAATATGCAACACAAGGTGTCACCACCTACAAAGCTCTTCATGACATGGGGTCTGATTATATAAACACGCCTTTTCTGTCATAATCCCCAGCCTCAGGAACAGCATCTACTTTCGTTTGGCAAGATTTCTGTTCATAGGCGAACAATAAAGAAACTACTGTGAAGTAGCTCATTTTATTCTTGGTTCCTTGAGCATGATAGAGTATGATTTCTTGATTGAGCCCTTGTTGTATATATGTATGTATGTGTTTGTTTATTCATTCCATTCATTCGTTCGTTCATTCATTCATTATATCTGTTTGAGTCCAGGCTGCTGGTTTAGTGGGTTTTAATTTTTTCCCCCATGGATTTTGTAAACTGCCTAGAGTCTTCTGAAGTGGGTGGTCAAAATTATCGTGAATAATTAAATTAAATTATTAATTAAATTAAATTAAATTATTAATTAAATTAAATTAATCTTCCGTGCCAAAATTGTGTTCATTTCTGGTTTGAGATATTTTCCATTTTGCGCATACTTTTAACTCAAGTTTCTCTTTAAATTTCTTACTTAGTTTTGCTAACTAAAAATCTACTAACCTTAGGAGCAGTGGTGATGTCTATAGTCTTTGTATCTATGGATATTAAACACATATAAACTGAAAACTGGTTTTTGAACATCAGCATGTGAAGAGCTAATCTGAAATGTGGTAAAGCTAGGTGAAAATACTCTAAATGTGCTTAAAATGACTTTATTTAAAGTTAAATGTAAAAGATTCTGTTTTCAAGATGCAATATTATTTTAACATAATGTAACTTTATAGTTGCTTAACCTATGTTGCAATCAATTTATAATGATTATAATGAAAAGTAGTAAATAAACACAATGACTTAATATTCAGAGCAATCACTGAAGAATTTACCTATTTTTATTATATTCTCGCTTACCTCTTACTTCAGAGCATTGGTTTTCATTTTTTTTAAATCTCTGTTTATTTTTTAGCCTTTCAGTAAATACCCTCCTGTAATCAATGATATATCCTTTTGGCTGCCTTCCGAAAAATATTGTGAAAATGACTTCTATGATTTAATCCGATCTATTGGAGGAGACATGGTGGAAGAAGTCAAGCTCATAGATGTATTCACACATCCAAAGTAAGTCTAATGTTTTCTATATCATGGTGAAGTATTTGTAATCAGTGTTTACAAATATTTAATAATATTCTAAATAGAGGTAAACATTTCATAATCATTATATATTGCCATTGACTTGTAAAGTGACTCTAAAGCAGTGGTTCTCAACCTGTGGGTCGGGACCCCATTTGGGGTCAAACGACCATTTCATGGGGGTCGCCAAACCACGCTGTCCGCCATTTTTTTCCCTTTTCCTTAGCTGTCCTACTCCCTCTTATTGGTGGCCACACCCACTTGGCCACACCCCTGAGGTCACCACAACACGGGGAACTGTATTATGGGGTCACGGCATTAGAAAGGTTGAGAACCACTGCTCTAAAGTTCTAAAAAGTTAAAAACAACAAAAATACATTGAGCGGGGGGGGGGGGGAAGCCACAACCGTTTCCATAGATGAGTCAGGCAGAGAGAGATGTTTCATGCCTCAAATGCCCTCCAGATCTCTGAATCTCAGCTCTGAGAATTTCCCAGTAGCTGAAAATGTTACATTTTGAAAGCTATACATCTAGGAGAATATCCAGATTAGGAAAGGCTGGACTAGAAGAATAAGGTGATTAGCTGTGGGGCGCAGTGGTTAGAATTCAATATTGCAGGCTAGCTCTGCTAACTGTTAGGGGTTTGATCCTGACTGGCTCAAGCTTGACTCAGCCTTCCATCGTTCCGAGGTCAGTGAAATGAGGATCCAGATTGTTGGGGGCAATATGCTGACTCTGTAAACCTGCTTAGAGAGTGCTGTAAAGCACTATGAAGCGGTATTTAAGTGGTATTACTATTAAGCAAGATTAATACAAGTTTAGTAGAAAGTATATTTGACCTGGTAAATTTATGATGATGGCAGGATGGCCGAGGAAGATATGGTAGAAGAACTCAGCTCAATTGCTTGTGGGTAAGCTCAGGTGCAGACATTGTTAAGCAAAGATATTAAAATCAGAGACCAATGAGCAATCTGACGTTTTCATGAACAGATATGCAGGATTTGGTAAAACAGCTCCTGTTCAAAATTACATCTCTGAAAGGAAATATATGAGTATGAATATTTGGGTTAAAGGTCCACTACTAATGTTAACTCTATTAAATATAGGCACCTTTAAATGGTTTCTCATAGCCACCTTTGGCATGTGGCAAGCTGTTTTATGTACACTTCAAGGAGCTGAGATGATTCTTCTCTAGCTTTCCAGAGACATTACAAATAAAAATTGTAGTGCCCACAGAGATTTCAGAAAGGGGTGAAGAAAATTGTGTATCTGTTGTTTATGGTGAATTAATGTGTGTATTAAAGATTCAACTCACATAAGTGTCGTTGAAAATGATTTGAAATGACTACCTCAAGGGAATATAATTGAATCGGCCAAACTTTTAAATATATCTCCTGGATTCATTTTATCTGTCTTATGTTAATAAAGGTGTTTTTTTAAAGATAAGAAACAATAACTTGCCCAATAATGTTTCATTCATATCTTATCAGAGAGTTTAATCTTAGAAACCACTAATGTGTAATGAAACCTTTGGGGTCTTTTATGTTGGTGAAAAGCTACTTTGGAAGGAGGCAAATAATACAGACAGGAATAGGGAAAGAGGACTGTTTAAAGTTCATTTGATTTTTAGTTTGCAGTATTTAGTGCAGCATTCCTCAACCTTTCCATCTTTGTAGACCGGTAGGTGAGGGAGAGAGCATGGTTACGTGTGGGTGGTGAGTGAGCACGTGTGCTTGTGCAGCTAACCCATTGCTTGCACAAGTGGAGCTGCACACACTCATCCACTACTTCCATGGCCTGGTTCCGAATGAGCCAAGGCCTGGTAGGGGCCATGGCCTCGGGGTTGGGGACCCCTGATCTAGTGTATGGGAAGCAAGGCTGTGAGCTGAGAGGCGTGTCAAATAGTCATTTCTACCATAGTCATAATCACAATTATGCCAAAATAATGAAAGATGCATTGTGACCTTTGTACTTGGGATGTGACATTGCATAAAAGGTATCAGGAGTAGAGTTAGAGTTGTGACATTGCTATGTACATTTATCACTTACTGTCTCATGTTATTCTCCTTCACACATCCATGTTTTCCATGTATGAAGAAAGGTACAAGAGAATATATATAGGAAGAAATTGACAAAAGTCTAATCCAGAAATGAAGTGATCTGACAGTAGTATAATATATAAGAAATATTTTTTTAATCAGAACAACTAAAATAGTCTTTAAAAATGCCATATTAGTAAACAACTAAATAAATATTATTTTTGCTGTATTACATAATCTTTGACAAAATCTCTCAAAGTTGACTCAGCCTTCCATCCTTCCGGGGTAGGTAAAATGAGGACCCAGATTGTTGGGGGCAATGTAAATATATAGATACATTGCTTACTGGTGTACACCGCTTAGAGAGTGCTTGCACTTAAAGCGGTATATAAGTCTCATAAATAAATAAATATCTCAGTGGCTTGCTTGATTACTTCCTACAAGCAGAGTTGCATATTTGTAACTGGCTAAAGCAAATTATCTACCTACCTACCTATTTATCAAATTTAAATAAGCTGACTCTGGGCTTATTTTTCTGAGGAAAAATTTTAAAAATAAAAAAATGGTCATATAATAAAAACCCATAACCCCCCCCACCTCCTGTGGCAACATAACCCAGTCAAATTAACCACTTGATTGGCTCCATCTCCATCGGCTGACAAAACCAAGATTTTTGGGGCCTTTCAGAAAAGCAGCAGTATGGGGAATAACCATTCCTCAAGGGGAATAATGTTTCATAAAGAAGGGGCCACCACCAAGAAGGCCCTTTTTCAAGGTCCCAAATATTAATATTGGGGAAAGAAAAGGCATTGACTGTCATTGTTTAGTTAGATAGATGATAATTCGTAAAACATTTTGATGCATCTAGTTTCAGAATACAAAGATATCCACTTTGAATTCACATATTTCTCGGTGAGATGGAATACTGGCAAATATTATTTGTTAAATAATATCTCACTTTCAAAATATTGGTTTATGTTAGTTTTCATTTCTCCTTCCACATTTCTAACAAGCTGTTCTTTTCAAATATCCTAATAAATTATGCTTCAGTTTTGCAGTGAAAAAAGAAAACTGTGTTCCAGGTAAGCTAGTTTGGTATAGTGGCTAAGGTATCAGACTAGAAGCCAGAAGACCTTGAGTACTATTCTCACCTTAGGCACCATGCCAGCTAAATTATTTGGGCCAGTAATGTTTTCTCAGATACTGGAAGGAAGCAATGGCAAACCACTTCTGAAAAAAACTTGCCAAGAAAACTATAGGAACTTGTCCAGGCAGTCTCTGAAAATTGGACACGATTGAATGGAAGAGAAAAATGAAAAGAAAGAAAGCAACACAATTTTCTGTTAGAATCACATAAATGAAAACATAATCAGTTCAGATTTTTAGCATTGATTTTTCACCAATTGTATGTTCATTCTGAATACATTTTACTTGCAAAGCAAACAAATCTCCAAAGAAGAAGACAGTGAAAAGAGAATCCAACAGGCACTAAACTAATCAGTGTGGAATTTGAATCATTTGAATATGACAAGGAGCTTTTTGAATCCTTTAATTTACTAATATTTCTTTATATACCTAATAATTTATATGAAGATTTGGGCACCTGCTGGAAAGGAGGTTGACTCTTGGTCTTTTATTCCCTCTCAGTTTAGAATAGCTTGAAAATTAAATGATGTAATCTCCAATTCAAGTTGAAAAATTACTCTTTTCTTCATACTAGAATTTGATTTGGTTGAGATGAACATTTCCAATCTGGCAAATTTTTGTTTCCATTTTTAAATTAAAACTCTGTAAAAAAAATCCTCTAAATAAATCAAGGGGCAGATGGATATTGAAACTATATTCTAGTGTATCTTTTTTTAACTCTTCAGAAGCCTATCACATTTAAAACAGTGTGACATGAATACTGACAATTTTAGACTGGCTATTTCTCTTCTAGTGTATCGTCTATTTTAACTTCCACAAAGGAAATTGGCATACATGCTAGCCCAGAAAATGATAGTGAAGGAGGATAAGCTAAATCATTTGTTTCCACAAAAAAGCAGTGTAAACTGTATTGGGCTTTTAATCAGAGGAGATGTGATAAAATTTGTGATGAGAAAAAATGTTTGAAGAAGCAAATAGATACGTGATAGCGCTGTTTTACTCCAGTTTCCACAGTAATTAGCTGTTTATAGTAACATTTGTTAAATATCATAATTCCCATGTTGATCCTTGCATCCAAGAATTTATGTCCTGCAATTACCTTTAGGGGAAGAAAGAAACAATGATAAGAATGTTATCATAGACATTCATCCTACATCCTTTTATGGACCTTTTTGAATGATGTGTGTACAGGTAGTCCTTGACTTACAATAATTCATTTAGTGACTGTTCAAAGTTACAACAGCACTTAAAAAGTGACTTATGATCCTTTTTCACACTTATGACTGTTGCAGTGTCCCAGGGTCATGTCATCAGCTTTTGCGACTTTCTGACAAAGTCAATGGGGAAGCCAGATTCACTTAACAACCAGGTTACTAACTTAAACAACTACAATAATTCACTTAACAACTGTGGCAAGAAAAGTCATAAAATGGGGCAAAACTCACTTAACAAATGTCTCACTTAGCAACATAAATTTTGGGCTCCGTTGTGGTCATAAGTTGAGGACTACCTATATTTTTCCAATGGCTTTTGGTAAAATTGGAGGACAAGTCTTTACACATTTGTATGCAGTCAGCCATAATAAACTGACTGCCACGAGGAGACACTTTATATTTCATTAGTTTTCCTGCTCTTCTTTCCTACTATTTAACTAGGCAGCTTCCCAACTGTTGTTTCTCAAGTCAAGTGGAAGTAAGTAGCAGGAGGCTAGCTCAAGGGATAGGACCATAAAGGAGAATTGATGATCAAACGAAGAGTTAAAGAGGCTATTTTCTTTGATTCTTCATTTATATTTTTTATTTT